ATATTTAAATCATTAAAATTATAATAACCATTGAATTAAATTGCTGTGTATTTAAATTCTCATTATATATTTATATAAATTTATTATTTATTAGTAATTAATTTAAGAGAAGAGAAAAATACCTTATTTATATGTCTAACATTTTATATCTTAAATATAAATGAAATTTTATTTTAAATTTTATGTTTTTAGTAGATTTTAGAGTTTTTAGAGTTTATATTTGTCATTTTATTGATCTAAATTACCTTTGGCATTCTTAATGTTTGTTTCTTGTTCTCACAATTCTTTTCCAATTGCTCAAGTGTGTCTGATGCTCTGCTATATTTACTAGTTTTTGGATAAAAGTGAATCGATTTTTTTTCTATTTTTAAAAATATTTTTTCGGTTTTTTACGAAATATTTAATCTTAAAATTTCTAGAAATATGTTTGCTTAATTTTTTTCTTTTTAATAAATTTATGTTATCAATTGCTACAATTTTATATATTATTTGAAATAAATATTTTATTAAAAATAAATTAATAATTTCTTAAAATAAATTTTATTTATTTCTTTAAAAATTGTTGGGTGTGTGTGCAATATCGTACATAAAAAAAGGCCCAGACTGACGCGCAATTATTTATTGTGACATCGTCACAATTGCGGGCTGCAATTTTTAATCATATTTTTCATTTGTTTTACTTAAAATATACGCTCTCCGCCTCAAATCAGTAGTGGCTTGCCCCTTCACGTCACACTTTTTCTTTAACAATAGAGTCGTGCCGATCATCTCTCTGACATCTTTCAGGGAAAAATTTTTGAATTGAAATAACGTAACTTTCAGTCTAGACGAAAAGTCACGTGAATTTTTATGATGATGTTACAATAATATAGAACTAGTTGTTAATTAATAAATAATATTCAAATAATAACAATTTGACGATAGTTTTGTGGTTGTGAATCTTGTAATTTTCTTAAAGAATAAGCGTAATGAAATATGAATGTTATATTTAGTTTATTTCTTCTTATTTCACTTGTTTTTGTCTTGTTTAAAGAATTAAAAAAAAGTGTTTGCTTGTAATGAGAAGAAAAAATTTCCATTTGATATACGTTATTCTGTAAGTAAATATAGGCTGAAATGATTACGTTTATTCAATGTTTTCACTTGAAAATAGTGAAAAAATATACAATTATAGAACATAAATAAACACGAAAATTTCACTGTACTTAGAAAAATGATAGATAATTTTTTAAAGTATAGTTTTGAAAGAATAAATGCTGTTTAAAAAAATAATAAAAATAAAGAAGTATTTATTCTTTCAAAAATGATTTTTTTAAAGTTGAAAAATTTAATTATTCCTTTATTTAAAAACAATTTTATACGTGTTTCTTACTCGTTACTCAATTTTTGTTCTTTTGTTACTTTACCAATTTAAATTCTAAAAATAGAAAATAAGTACATATTAAAATATAACAATAGGTTGAAATTAAATATACAAATAATTCAAATAAATCATGTGTATACCTGTATAAATTATTTTATTTACAGTCGACCCCCCTATAAGATCATTGATTTTTCCGTTTTATCTGAATTACATGTTGTACGAGTCACTTAGATTTTACAAATACGTGTGCCGGACTGTGAATGGCTCACATATTTGTAAAATCTAAGTGACTCGTACAACATGTAATTCAGATAAAACGGAAAAATCAATGATCTTATAGGGGGGTCGACTGTATATATCGTTTAAGAACTTTAAATAATTACGAATAATTTGTAATTAATCTGCACTTCAAAATTAATAAATAATACAATGAATAAGTCAGAGAATTCCTTAGTGCAATTAAGGGAATTGAAGATATGCATTACGTAATTTTGGGGTGGGTGTCTGCGACAGCATACGGAGCGTTACATGGAAGTGGAATGGTATTTGAAAAGTTTAAAAATAACATTAGGTAATTTATGGACGATCCCTTGTCTAAATTCCAGAAGAATCCTTACTACTTCTTTTAATCTCGGAAGGCTTATCTTAAGGCTCCTTTAAATCTTGAAAGGCTCTCCTTAAGGTTTCTTTAAATATCGATTTTCCTTTAATAAAACGTTTTATTAATTCGATTTATATTCCGAAAAAATTAAATTAAAAACTAAGATATACTCAAAAGTAAATAAATAATTTTAAACGAAATTTAATCGAAAATATTTATTTATTTAACTAAAAAAATATCAACTTAAATCTTTGTATTAACAAAAAGTAAAATAAAATAAATTATAAATAATAAGATTTTATTGTTTATTATTGAAACATTTAAAAGAAACCTCAAATAAATTGTCCTCTTTCGTAATTCAAAATATTTTTCATGCTATCAAGCATGGCATCCATCACATTTTATCCAATCTTCTTGAAGGAGTTTCTTCACAGCCTGAAGCTACTGTAAAACCGGGCATTGGCTCCAAACCACTAAAAATATTTCAACAATTCTCACGTCAGATTAAAAAAGATTCAACCAAACATTATTGAATTTTCCATATTTAAAAATTATATACTTCAATATTTTAGTCTGATATTTAATAAATAAGTTAATAGTAGCATGCATAACTGGATTAATTATTAAGCAAATTAAGCAAGTCCCGTCAAAGAAAGAAAGACCCCAAAAATTTATGCCTGATTTACTTATCATAGACCATATGGTGCAAAACTGAAAAACTTGGGGTCTCATTTTGTGGATCCTGGCTCCACAAAAAGGGCCCCCACAATAAATGAAACAATTAAAGTATTTGCTGACGCCATTCATTTTTAAAAATAAAATTTTATTTTATGTTTTATTGTTGCTTATATTATGAGTTACACGTACAGTATATAGGGCAACCAAAATCAAAGGGTTTAGGGCCTGTAAAACTCTTAATCAGGCCCTTGTAGCATATGTTAAATGAGAATCACTGTTTGTTAATTAATAAATAAATAATATTTTAAAAATTAATTTTAATTTGTCATATAGAAAGAAACATTGACTGGAGTAGGAAAGAAATATTTTTTATTCTGGGTTAGAAAGGAGCCACGTTATTCGAATTCTTACTGAATCTATCGACTATTGTATTGAAACATTTGACAAGAATTGAAAAGATATGGTTTTTCATTCGCGTGTAGAAGAGGCAATAACATGAAAAGAAACAAAGATCAAACAGGAAAACCAAATTCTGTTTAGTCTCTGTTACTTTTTATAGAACTTTACATGTGTCTTGTATTCTAGATTTATTCCAATATTTAAATTTAGTTTCTTTACATGCTGAAGATATGACTGACATGACTCTATTGCTAAAGGAAAGTATGATGTACAGGGGCAATCCAGTAATGATTTAAGATGGAGAGCATATAATTTAAATTAAATTAATGTTATAATAAATAATTGCTCGTGTTATAAATTATTTTTTCTTTTATCATTATTTATAAATATAAATATTTATTTTTCTAATTTTTTTCATGGTAATTTTTATTATATTACTAAATCTACTTTTTAATTTTTATGCTGTAAATTATTTTAATATTTAAAAATAATAAAAATAATGTTATTAAATAGCTACAGTTTATACAGAACGGAATAGATAAATATATTTGAATTTCATTATTCAATTTATTGGGCTGTAATTTTCAAAATTTGCAGATCAGTAAATTTCACTGGTCAGCTGTCTGTCTTTCGTTAATCTTGAGAAGGGAGTGAGATAAATGAATTCGAGACCAGACATGGAAAGCTAAAGGGCAGGAAGCCACGTTTAATTTTGTACGAACTTCCGGTTATACCGAAAGTCACGTTATTTTAATTCAAAAAATTTCTCCTGGATAGAGGTAGATAGATGACTGGCATGACTCAATTATTATCAGGAAAAGTATGATTTATAGGAATAAGATACTACTAAAATTGAGAGCATTGTGACGATGTCTCAATAAATAATAGTTCGTTATAAAAATATTTTTTAAAAGTTAATTAATATTTGAATATAATTTAAACAAACTAAAATAAATAACCAGAGGACGTTTCATAAATGTATTTTATAATTAATTAATAAACAAATATGTTAAATATTTTAATGAATTTATTAATTTCTTTTTTAATCCGAAAAACTGTAAAATTTAACACATTTAAAAAAAATTTTATTTGTAAAATTTAATCAATTTATAAAGTATAGTACTAAATAGACCTGTATTTATTATTAGTACATTTTATTTTTATATTTTCTGAAATGGTCCAAATTATCATCCACACTTCATGCCTAATGACTTTTTGACTAAAAATATAATTAACATTACTGTTGAAAAATAATTTTTTGGATAATGTGCGACTTCAATGTTTATCACTTCATCATCATCCCCCAACAGTACATGTCGATTCTTCGTAAGAATAGAGACTGTAATCAATAACTATCCTGATTAAAAATGATTTATCCTCATATTTTTAGATTTTAAACTCTCATAATTGCAAGTTTATTCGTAAAAATGGCAGTAAATAGTAATCAATGCTTAGTATAGTTATTGTCCGTATATGGCAACGCGACACGTAGACAATCTGCCGGGGGAATGCCTCCTAGAACAGCTTTCTATAGGAAATTGACCCTATTTAGGTGTTACCAACGTGAAGGAAACCTATAAAACACAGTCATTCTGCTGGCCAGGCGCAAACTCACGACTAAGTACTGTGTTTAGCGGTTTTATCCACTTAGCCACTGATGTGCAGTTGACTATTGATTAAATTTTTTCATAATTGATGCTTAGTATAACTGATTGCCTCATAATTTACTTTCTAATAAATCTTTAAAATCGATTAATTGATTCTAAAAATGAACTGTGAATCGATTTTAAGTGTTTTAAATTTGTATTTAATGTGTAATATAATTAAAATTAATTATGTTAGGTGTTAGTCAACTCTAAACTATTTGATTTTTTAATTTTTATAGTATATTTTATACATTACAAAGACATAAAAAGCATTATAAAAGACGTCTATCGTCGGGGTAATTATTTTGTTAGGTGCCACCAAGGTAAGAGTCCAATTCTTTTTGAAGTGGCATTATCAATTTTCAGACTCGTTACAGACTCCAAGAGGATAAATGAAAAATTGAGGTAAAATTATTTAATATATAGGCCTAATAATATGTTTAATAATTATACAGTACATCGATTTTACAATGATTTTTCTATATCGTTGTTTCAGAATGCATTAAAATTAATTATGAGTGTGTGATAATGATTTAAAACGTTTACCTTCCACTTTCTGTTAGTAGAATGAATCAAATAAATCTGTCAAACTTAATTAAACTATAGGATATTTCAGGATAATAAAATCATAATTTATTGTTTGAAATATGTTTATTCTTATAAAATACTCATTATTTTATGAAGGAATTTTTAAAATTTAAAACTGCTCACATTTGGGGAAGACGTGGGTCAATATAATGGACAGATTCCCAAAGTAGCAACAGCCTGACACTGGCGATCCGGGTTCGAGTGCAGATTTGTTCATAAATTGTCACGAACGCTGTTAAGTGAAGGACTTTTATAGGAATTTGACCCCTATTCAGGTGTTAGACACGTGAAAAATCCCGGAAAACTCTACGTGGCCATCCTGTTGCGAAGGCCAGCCTGCGACCAACTGTGTTCGATGATTTTTACCCACTAAGTCACTGATGGGCGCAAAAATGACCAAAATGAATTATTTCTTTGTATCATAATACTTTTAAAGTTCTACTTTTATTTTATTACGGATTGATAAAACCGGATCGATAACTGAGATTTTAAGTGAAAGCTCAATTTTACAATCCCTGAAGGTCTCTTGTATTATTTTATAACTAGGATGATATTTTATCACTAGAATTTCTGCATCACGTATCAGCTGTCTGATAATTTTATACCTAAATATTTCTCTTTATTTTCTGAAATAAAGTGGTCCCTGTCCTATATTTATTCTCCATACAATGGAAAAATTCAGACTTCAAATTACAGGGTGGTTATAAATAAAGTTGCCCTACTCAGACCTGTATAGAGTCCGTTCTCGTTGACGCACTTTGATGAAACTTAGTATATACGTTATATGGACGACGGAGAAAAGGAAAAAAGTAATTTGTTCAAATTTTTATCACTAAGTGGAAAATGGCGCATGAAGAACAAGAAACACAAAATGGAAACACGCAAAAAGTTTTTATTTACGACATTTGTTCAACGTGCAATCCATTTGCGTCAATCACATGTTCAAAGCGCCTTACAGCGTGTTCAACAGTAGCCCGATAGGTTTCTTGAGAAAATGTAGCAATATGGCGTGTTATGCTTGTTTTCAATTCAGGCAGAGTTCCTATTGTGGGGATATCTGAAAGATCGTGTCTATAGGGGAGGCATACGAACTGAATTTGTACTGTACGTGTAATTCTTAACAATAAAGTTTTAATTTGCTATGCAGTATGTACCGTACTGTATGATACATTTGAACAACATATAAAAGAATCATGTACTTTTTAAAAATTTATAAAGTTTTGCTTGTTTCCTGTAATTTTCGATGGACTTGTCACATACTAGTATGTAACACCAGTTGTCTCATTCCGCCGAAACTCCAGTCACGTGACAGAATGGAACCATTCTAAAGATTAACTCACATTTACTAATGTGAGTTACCTTTAGACAGTGTGAGTTAACGATTTTTAATCTCTCGGTGAAATTTGTTTACACTACAAAACGTAAAAAGCGAATATTTTCAAGGCGTTGGGGTGGCGGAGCGATTTGCTAAACGGGAAAATTTGCCGTAAATGCGTCACGTGTTACGTATTATTCTACTTTTTGCTGGAAATTCGCTGTCAGTATGGAACGGAAATAAATGCATAATTTACAAGATATTTAACGTATAATCGCGAGAAACTTACAACAGAGAAACGTATAAGCGAGATTCGACTATAATAACCAATTTACTTCGTACGAATTCGTAACGTATTTGGCAAATATCCGGTCGAAAACAAAACAAAAAAAAATTGTTATAATAATAAATTAAGTTTACTACAAATTTCTATTTAGAAGCTTCAAATCAAACTGACAGAAATCAAGAAAATAAACAAGAACTTTTTAAGAAAAACGGTAATTGTTACGCTGGGTCAAGTCAATAGAAGAACCAGTAAGAAAGAAACTTCGAAAAAAAGGGGGAAGCGTTGCCATCTAGTGGTTGGTTTGATTGAATTAAGTATCTGGACAACGTTTACGAACCAAACAGCTGCAATATTTTCTTTTTCGTCAAACTGAACACGGCAAAGTAAACATCAATTTAGAAGAGGACAGCTAGAAGTGATAGTTTTTCATTCCTACCGGGTCTACTGATTTATTTTTATCAGAAATTATATATAAATATATATATATATATATAATGTATATATACATTATATAGTTCCTCGACTGTGAATAATATAAGAAAAATATAAAAATATATAACTCAGTACCAGTTTATGATTTACTTTGTCATTCTGAAGTTTTTCCTTTACAATTATCGCATGTTCTACAAGAGAAACTATGAAGTAAAACTTGAATGACAAGCCCAATCGTATGCCTGTTGAATATTTATTTATTTATTTGAAAAGATTATTGAACTGCAATTTTCAAAAATTGCAGACAAATTCCTACGTCCGTCCGTCTGTCTTTCCTTAATCACGAGAACGAAGTTAGATATATGAAAAACGAGACCAAATACGGAAACCTTACGGGCAAGAAGCCCGATTAACTGTATACGAACTTCCTATTTGCCCCGGAAGTCACACTAATTTAATTCCAAAAGTTTCCCCTGAAAGAAGTTAGATGAGTGACACCACTCTATTATTAAAATAAAAGCGTGATATATAGGGACAAGCCACTACTAATTTAAAGAAGAGAGCATATATTTTAAATTAAATAAATTTAAAAAGAATGATTAATAATTGCAGCCCAGCATTGTGAGAATGTCACAATAAATAATTACTCGTTATCTAATTAAATATTTCGAGAATTTCACTCTCTACAGATAAGCTCAATTAGACTTAATTGAGCTTCTAGTCCATTTCTGGAAAGATTTAACGATAATTTTAAAAATTTTCTGGGTTACTTTTTATTTAAATTACATCCTCGACGTTTATTTAAGTATAGAAACGATACAACCCCCTTGAATCTTCTGTGTCCTCGAGGGAACGCCCACTTTGAGAATCACTGATTTAGTCGAAGAAAACTTGCTTTCCATTAAAATTTTTATGGCTATTTCGAGGTCAAAGTAAAAGATATAACTTTTACCATCTCCAGGGTATGCATCAAATCATATACTTTAGTAAGATCATTGAGTTTTGATACTTTAGTATAAGTATATCCATAATCCAGTCCAATACATTCTTAATCCTGTGGGTAAAATTATCCATTATTCTAAATTTTAGCTGGGTAAACCCCAGGAAACTTTTTAGCATATATATATATATATATATATATAGAATATCAGGGCCGGATTCGCAAACAACTAAACGAACTGCAGCTTAGGGTCTCGCTTTGTGAGTCTATAGCTAGGCCTCTTATTGTTACACGTATTATTATTTGGTGGAAGAGAAGGGTCTTTTATATGTTTAGGGTCACAATAAGTGTAAATCCAATCCTGCGTGCCACTTAACTTTTAGCGGCCTCACTATATTAAAAAAGAACAAATCAACATTCAGAATATTCTATTGTATTTAAATAATAAAATCTGCCAAAAAAGAAAAATAAAGTTATTTTTATAATAGACACGAAATACAATAATAAATATTTTTGAGAGTCAGTAAATGTCAGGCTCGAAGCCGTGTGGCTCTAATAGTGAACATATCACGTGACTAGATATACCCTAATTACAACACTACTAGCAATTAACACACGACTGAATTATTTTTAGAAAAATATACTCTAATCCAAACACAAAATATTTATCGTATTTATACAGACACTTGGCAAATCACAGAATTAAATTTTATTCAGTTGATTCAGCTGAATAAAATTTAATTCTGTGATTTGCCAAGTGTCTGTATAAATACGATAAATATTTTGTGTTTGGATTAAAAATTACTGGCACGGTTTCAAAAATACAAAAATATACTCACTAAAAATTACAACACTAAAGAACTAAAGAAACTATGTGATTCTACAAAATTAAGGCGATTTTCTTCTGTAAAGTAAGCTCGTAATTGACTTATTGCACCTGTTGCCTGCTTTATATCTTCACAAAATAACAGTTAACACCCTTAAGATCACTTAATAACGTTGTAGATTTAAAAAAGAAGAAGAAGAAAAAGAAGAAGTATTCTTTAATCTTACTCATTGCCTCGGTTCTGATATTACGTCATAACTCACTGTTTGCAATTTTCTTACTTCCTCTGCCGGAAGGAGATCGTCATTGGAGGGAAGTGATTCAATTAAGTACGCAGTTCGTCATTTCCTGTGACTTGTGGCGTGTTGGTCGTTATGTTCCCTCGATTTGTCAATTGTATCGTTTCTATCGTCACTCCATTCCACCTTTGTTTATTTTATTTTCTTGTAACTGATAGAGTAATGATGTTTCAAATTGGACCCGGAGATGAAATCCTTTGATAAACATTGCGGTTTGTGTAGTAGCTTAACTAGAACTTTTAGCCCCATAAGGAAATTGTAATAAAGGGCCCTCCCGTTCTAGGGTTCGTGGTAGTATAGGAATTTTAACAAAATTTTTATTATAGTTAGTTGGCTTAATGATATATAATATAAACATACTTTATAGTAGGGCGTTACAGCTTCATGGGGCCCAGGAAACATTGAATTTGGAAGCGCCGTGCCCAGTGTTGACTTCAGATATTTCTCTTCGGGGTGGGGAATGTTTTCATATAAAAGATTGGTTTGAGGTCTCCTGTTGGTGAGGCTCCAGGAAATTGCATTTTTTTTTCCTCACATGATAATACGGCATTGATATGCCCCATGTCCAACAAATAAAAAATTTCAAATATATTATTTTTATCAAAGTATATTTCGTATAATAATGTCTTTAGACAATATATTCTATATTCTGTTTATACGGAATAATGTGTTGTTTCATAGAACAGGACGTGTTCCAGGAACAATATATTATTCCTGGGTACTGTTTCTACTGATCTACGAGTCGGAAACAGTGCCCAGAGCCTAATCTGGACCCCTTTATTCATGGGCCTTTAAGCATCACTTAACCGTTTAAGGGCCTCCTATGAATGACATAACTACTTAACAGTGGTTACGTCATTGCGTTTGTGTTAAATTAAATGATGTTTAAGTCGAAGACACGTGAATCTAATATTTATCATGTTTTGTTAATCCAATAAAAATATCCTTGTATTTATTTTGGAATTAAATATTTTTAAAAAAAAATAATATTTTAATGCTAATATTACTTGTAAAATAATGTTTATAAAAGAAAATATTACTCATAATTTATTACAAATGATTTCATTTATCTGTTATTTTAATGACCCATAATGTTTAGATAAAGAGAATAATAATTAATGTAACTTGTGTAAATAGGTCTAATTATTCCAATTATAATTTTGATATAACTAAATTACTTTCTTAAATACAACTATAGTACTTAATATATATTGTATATAGATCTAAAGACTTAGAAAAGCTATATACGTAGGAATGTGCTGTACGTATATAATCCTATCTATATTATATAATACTATATATAAATTTCTAAAGGTATTTTAATGTTTGTTAAGCAAATATACTTTATATAAGTCTATATATATTATATAATATATAATATTTACAGATAATTCACAATATTCACATAAATACCTGTATATAATACATATACATGTTTTTATGTGTGTACTTAAGGCCAGAGCCTGTCATCTGGCCAAATATTTTTCTGAGGCCCCTAACATATACACTAAAAAGAGAGAACAGAATGCAAAACTGCCTAAAAATTAAAATTTTTAGAAAATTCAATATACAAAAAATACAATGGAAGTATAATTTCTAATAAATGTTCTTGAGTAAATGTGAATCCCAGGCCTCAATGCCCTGCTTCATCATAGATGAAGCAAAAATGAAATTTCTCTCCTTACATTTTTAGGGCCTTGTAATGGAGAACCAGCAGAATACATTCTTTACATTTTTAGGGCCATATGCAGGCCTAAAGAGTAATATCCTAGGCAAAAGTTTAAATTACCTATTGCTAAAATGTCACTAGTTTTATATCTTATATCAAAGGAAACTATTTAACAGAATTTTTAATTAAATTGTTTGTAGAATATGCTAAACATTTGTTAATTATTTTATTTGTTCAAGAAAATATCCAATTTAAAAAAATTATTTGAATTTTTTTAAATGGATATTTAAATTCCTCATCATAAAAATACTATAAAATTCAAAATAAATAAATTAAAATCTATGAATTTTATTCCTTAAAACTTACGTTTATTATTTTATGTACCGGTACATAAAATAAATTAAATATAGGTTTTTGAAGTCTAAATATTGCTATAACATATAAGAGGCCTTAGTTTTTTTTATCATAATAATAAATTGAAAAGAGTAAGGCCTTTAAGCACGAGGCTCTAACCTTTTGCTTATTGAGGCCTCTGATTGAGATTTAATTTATTGTAGTAGTAATAAATGAATATATTCGTAAGATAAAATTAAGAAACCAAAGAAACATTTTTAAAAAATAGTTTAAAAATCAATAAAATAATAATAAAAAAACCATAAAGTTTATTGAAATAAATAACCAATTTATTTTATTTTAAATTATGTAAACTTTTCTGGAATATATATATACATATACATATTTATTTATTTTCTGGCTTTTTTGAAAATAAAAATATGAAAAAAATAGTAAAAAATATAAAAAAAATAATACAATTTTTCTCTTTGGTCGAACTTTATCGGTTCTTACGATATCTTGAGAATATTTTATAACATACAAAAATATTTAAAATTTTCGAGGAGTGTTCCTGCAAAAGAATTTCTGTTTTAATCTATTAAATTTTCTATTTTCTATTCTACAAAAATAGAAAACTTAAAAGTTTAGTTGTTCGATCTGCCATTTTATGCAGAGCTCATATTTTTTTTCTATTTGAATTTTTTTTAAAGAAAAGTTTTAAAAAATGAAATAAAGAATAAAAGTTTTGAATAAATTATACATTAAAGTTTTAAAGAATTCATTTAATTTTACCATAAACTTATTAATTATTTTCTTTGCTTATTGGGCAGCAATTTTCGAATTGCAGGCCTATACATTCCTACTGTCGTTCATCTGTCTGACTATCTGTCCTTCGTCAACTACGAGACGGAGTTAGGTAAAAATCGAGACCGGATATGAAAAGCTTCTGCTCTCTTTTTCTGGAAGTCACGTGATTTAATTCAAAAATTTTTCCCCGAAAGGTATTAGGTAGATGATCGGCACGACTCTATTCTTAAAGGAAAAGTATGATTTACAGGGGCAAGACAAAACTAAAATTGAGAGCATATATTTTAATTTATTAAGCGCGATCATATATTTTATTTATTGTGACGATGTCACAATAAATCATTGCTCATTATTATTGTTTGTGTTTCCTTTAAGAAGATATTATAAAATTTAATTCCAATAATAGTTATTTTTAAGAAAAATCTAAAAATTCTGACTCTCTAAGGAAATAGGTTATTAAAATAAATATAATTCATTAATAAAATTAATGTTTTACATAGAAAACAGCATTTATTTAATAATTCGTGCTACTATTGATCTGAATATTATTGGAATAGTTTCAAAATTTATAATTGTCTCTTGAATACGAGTACAATGGTGACATATTGAAGTTACATAATATTGCATCTCTATACTTTCAGGATCATCTAAAGATATTTATTCAGGATTTACAATAAACATTGGAAACCTAATCAAAATATCTATTCAGATAAATAGTTTAAATTACACAGTTAAAGTAACAGAGTGTAATTTAAACTATTTATTATTTAGTGTGAGTGAGAGTATAGCACGATTTTGTTCATCTATTTTAAAGCTTAATAACTCTTGTGCCTTTTGTCGAAAATTTGTGAAATCTCACAAGGAGGTTCGTGTATTAGAGACATTGCTTCTATTAAGTTTCGGTGGTTAAAGGTCGAGAGGGTGGGGAGATAGAGAAAATCGTATCGTAGCTTAATAAAGATTTTACTCGTTATTATAGGTCTTCTCTAACCTCAAAATTAAGCTTTTTGCTATTTTATAATAATTATATTTTTCTGAGGCCCCTAACATATACACTAAAAAGAGAGAACAGAATGCAAAACTGCCTAAAAATTAAAATTTTTAGAAAATTCAATATACAAAAAATACAATGGAAGTATAATTTCTAATAAATGTTCTTGAGTAAATGTGAATCCCAGGCCTCAATGCCCTGCTTCATCATAGATGAAGCAAAAATGAAATTTCTCTCCTTACATTTTTAGGGCCTTGTGATGGAGAACCAGCAGAATACATTCTTTACATTTTTAGGGTCATATGCAGGCCTAAAGAGTAATATCCTAGGCAAAAGTTTAAATTACCTATTGCTAAAATGTCACTAGTTTTATATCTTATATCAAAGGAAACTATTTAACAGAATTTTTAATTAAATTGTTTGTAGAATATGCTAAACATTTGTTAATTATTTTATTTGTTCAAGAAAATATCCAATTTAAAAAAATTATTTGAATTTTTTTAAATGGATATTTAAATTCCTCATCATAAAAATACTATAAAATTCAAAATAAATAAATTAAAATCTATGAATTTTATTCCTTAAAACTTACGTTTATTATTTTATGTACCGGTACATAAAATAAATTAAATATAGGTTTTTGAAGTCTAAATATTGCTATAACATATAAGAGGCCTTAGTTTTTTTTATCATAATAATAAATTGAAAAGAGTAAGGCCTTTAAGCACGAGGCTCTAACCTTTTGCTTATTGAGGCCTCTGATTGAGATTTAATTTATTGTAGTAGTAATAAATGAATATATTCGTAAGATAAAATTAAGAAACCAAAGAAACATTTTTAAAAAATAGTTTAAAAATCAATAAAATAATAATAAAAAAACCATAAAGTTTATTGAAATAAATAACCAATTTATTTTATTTTAAATTATGTAAACTTTTCTGGAATATATATATACATATACATATTTATTTATTTTCTGGCTTTTTTGAAAATAAAAATATGAAAAAAATAGTAAAAAATATAAAAAAAATAATACAATTTTTCTCTTTGGTCGAACTTTATCGGTTCTTACGATATCTTGAGAATATTTTATAACATACAAAAATATTTAAAATTTTCGAG